CTGAACGCAACACTGAACGCTGAACACAACGCTGAACGCAACACTGAACACAACACTGAACGCAACGCTGAACACAACGCTGAACGCAACACTGAACGCTGAACACAACACTGAACGCAACACTGAACACAACACTGAACGCAACGCTGAACACAACGCTGAACACAACACTGAACGCTGAACACAACACTGAACGCAACACTGAACACAACGCTGAACACAACACTGAACGCAACGCTGCTTCATTTCCTCATTCCTGGGTTGTTGTTGTAAAAGATGGAATGTTGTCTGACTAATGGACGCAAACCGCAGAGGGCCAAAGAAAGTTCCCCTTTAACAGGGAAAGCATTGTTAGAAACGCTGTCTTGTTCTCAAAGGTATTTACCCACTCAGTTGGTGGTGATTACAATGCAAAACAGAAAACCTCACCAAGTATTTTTGTCTAGTTTCTGTCGCAAACATCGTAGTACACTCAAAACTAGACAAAACTGACCTATCAGTAGCTTTTCAGCAAGATGTACAGGCTTATTTTGAGTGAATAATCCCTTAGTATTGATGAAAAAGTTCTAGATCCACAGACAGATTTCTTCTCTTATAACATGGGAAAAATGTTTTGTTATAAGAAAAATAATCTGCCAATGGAACAAGAACTTTTTCATCAATATTAAGAAATTATTGACATAAAACAACCTCCAGTTTCTTGCTGAAAAATTACTTGTAAGTTAATTTTTTTTCTTATTGCAAGTGATCTAAGATATTTGTGACAGAAACTAGACAAAAATTCTTGGTATGATTTTGTGTTTTTGCAGTGTACTCAGTGAACTCTGACAAAAATTTAAAGCACGCACTGCAAAAACACAAAATCATACCAAGAATTTTTGGTTTAGTTTCTAGTTCACTTGAAATAAGGCAAAACTAACTTATAAATAACTTTTCACATGATATATCTGCTTGTTTAAAGTAAATAATTCCTTAATATTGACAAAAAATATTTTAGTTTCATTGGCAGATTATTTCACTTGTAACAAGAATTTTTCCCATGTTTTTAGTGAAATAATCTGTCAGTGGAACCAGAACTTTTTCATGAACATTAAGGAATTATTGACTTAAAATAAGCAGATATATCTTGTGAAAAGTTACTTGTGAGTTTTGTCTTATTTCAAGCGTAGTGAGATATTTGTACTAGAGAAACTAAACCAAAAATACTTGGTAATATTTTGTGTTTTTGCAGTGTGGTGCTTTTTTTTAAATATATATGTTCCGCTCATATTGTGAAGCTAATCAATGTGTGATTCTTTTGGGCCTGCAGGGAGGAGAATGAATGTCTTTCTCTGAAAACGATGAACATAAACGACGGCGCTCTGCTACGTTCAGCCTCTGTTTAAGGATGCACAGCTTGAGTTTCCTTCATTTTGTCCATCCTGCATGTCCAGCTCGCTCCACAGCAGGGAGCCGGGTGCCTCTGCCTTCGTTTATTCAACACCACTAATGATTGACGGGCTGCATTATTCATGGCGCCGACCCTCCTAACCTGCTGCCTTTACAGTCCAATTCCACCTGCATGTTTGCTCTTTTTCTCTGTGGGTCATTTTGAGTTCAGACTCCAGTTAAACATAAAGGCGTCAGCAGCATTCCACAAACTTACTTCCTTCTTACTAAAGTTAGAAGAGCTGGGTGGAAACTTTTGTGGATTTTTGACGTCTCTCTTCTAACAGGGTTAATTGAGGAATTAAATCTCCTGTAACTGTTTTTGACCTCTAACCCTTGATTTGATTAGCTCACTAATTTTCCTTCTTACATTTACGTTTACCTTCACTGTAAAACGTTTGAGCTGCATTTATTTGTGTCTACGATCCTTTACTCTTTAAGTCAAATAAATTTAGCCAGTTTTAGATTTTGAACCTAAATGTGAGTTTGTAAAAGATAAACTTACAGCAGTAAGTTGTGTTATTTTTTATTAATTTTGTCAAACCTCCAAGAGTTGAATAAACTAGAGTTTTTAGGTTAGCACTTAAAAAACTGGAAGGAGAAAAAGACAGGAGTGGGAACTATTTCCCAGAATGCTTAGCGGCATGTTTCTGTATCCTGAGATGGAAGTGCGTCACATTGATCCGACTCTGGTGTTTTATTAAGGAAAATGTTTGTTTTAAAGCCTGAGGATAAAGTCCTGTTCACACTAAATGTTTCTGAGCTGAATTCATTGTGAAGTTTAATAAAATTCATCATCAGATCATAAATTTTGTTCATGCAATTTGAAACAAGAATTTAAATGATTCTAAAGTAAAATAAGTTGTTATTTTATGAGTAAAATAATAGAGAAATGTGGCTTTTAATTTTTTTCCCTTGCATATTGTGAAATAATGATTTGGTTTAAATTACAGCATTAAGTTAAAACTCACAATTCAAGATTAATTAACTTAAAAAACAAAGTTTAGACAACTTGTCTCTTGTTAAATCAACTTCATGAACTTTAATTTCTGAGTTAAAATCAATAAATTTTTTTTGTGACTTAAATTACATTATCCAGGCAGCAGGTGGACTTTCATTTTCAAGTTAAACCACCTTTAGACAAACTGAAAGGTTTGCAGGACAATCACAAGCAGAGATGGGCTACATTTAAACCGTTTACACTGTTCAAACTGATAAAATCTTTTAACGAGGAGTCAGAACAGTGACTTCATAGAGCTCCCTCTCCTCCAGACGTCACTGTTGATCAGGTGGACAAACGTCTCTCAAAGTGTTCCTCCGTCGCTCCCCAAACACAAAGTTACATTATATTAATCGACGTGGCTTTAAGTTTGTTGCCTGTGACAAAATGGAGAGGAAAGCTGGATCCAAACACACAACTTTCCAACTGCAAATCAGCTTCCTGTTCCTGTTCAGACTGACTCAACATATGGCCTTCGTCAGCGTCATTCGAAGGATGAAGGCCACAAACCGAAATGTTGGTCTGCATATACAGTTGTTTCCTCGTCCTTCAAGTGTTGTTAATGTCTTTTGGGAATCAGCAAAGTTGTTCCAGAAACTTTTTTGGACTTTAATTGAGCCACAGAAGGCTGTTATGCATTCCCTCTCACTAACAAAACGAGAGAAATATGTTTGTCTGGAGAATCTTTCTGTTTTCTGTTTGTTTTTTTATTGTGTCCTGTCTGGCAGTGCTGTTATCTTAGTGTCCAACATATATGAAACTTTCTTAGAAAGTTTCATATAATTTCTAATAAGCTTTATTAGAAATTATTTAAAATGTAATGGACACAGACAGAAAAGAAAGGGAGAAAGTTTGCTGTTTCCTGCTTCACAAAAACAAATGCATCTCTTTACTGTCCCGTCCTATATAACCTACATCAACCATCAATTTTTCTACCTTCACAAAGGATTTTTACTTATAATTTTAGGTTTGTACAGTTTGGAAACAACGGTTTTGAAGGAAGTAAAAAATAGCCACTAAAAAACTGACCGGACTTGTTTAGAGGAATGACGTGAAACGTGGTTTTATTTTTAAACCTAAGAATGACAAAACTAACAAAAGGAGAGTTCAGCTTAGTTTGTTCTGCAGCTTTCTCAAATTTTCTATGAAGTTTTGTAGAGCACAGGAGGCAGTTTGATCCGTGCGTAAAAGTTAATTTTGCGCACATAGAGGCGCCAAATTCCTCTTTATGGGGGAAAAATGAAATAAAATAATAAAAATAAACTCTTGCTCTGTTGTAAGTTGCAGCTAAAATCCCCGCAGACGCCATTTCTTACCAGTTCAGGCACGTAGAGGATGTCCGGAATGGTGGTGCAAACCCCCACGCCGCTGGGCAGGTGGCCCATCGTTACAGTGTTGGAAGCCATTTCCGCGGATCTGCTGCTGCTGCTGCTGCTGCTGCTGCTGCTGAAGCTGAAGAGAGAGTGAGGAGGATTCAGATCTGCCGGGCTTTAAACCAGAAGGAGCCGACTGGAAAAACCGGAATCCCCATCAGCCGAGCGCAGACACGCCCGCCGGCCCGCACGGCGCAGGATGGATCTGAGGTCCTGAAACAGACGGACAGGGAGAGACGCGCTAATTAATCTTTGACCAGAGTCTACTTTATCACCATGGCAACCTGAGGCAGAGCTGCTGCCGACAACAAAACAACAACAACAACACAAGAGGAACAACAAAAAACTGTTCCTCTAATTTCTACCACAAATGACAAGTTTATCTAAAAATTGGCGCAAAATTAGGAACATTTGTAAACTTGATTGTCTTAACAAGTTATGGGTGGATTTCTGTTCACATCCAGCCAGTGAACATTTTGTGAAATCTTTTTGGTAAAATTATCTAAAAGTCTTACCAGGTTTGTAAAGAAATTGACACTTTGTTAGGGACATGTGTCAAACTCAAGGCCCGTGGGCTAAATCTGGCCCGCCACAGCTTTTTATGTGGCCCTCTTCTAGACTAAATACTAAATGTGCTTAAATATTATGTCATCAATCAAATCAATCCAGGTTTTATCTGTTTACTGTCAAATTATATCCATCAGTCCCTCCAGTTTCTTGAGGATTAATTTATCGTGGAAATTCACACAAAATCTCTGCACTTTTTTTTGCATCACACACAGTTTGGAGTTTACAGCAGATTTTTCTCAAAAATTATCAAGAAAAATTCTTACTTGTACTGAACAGCTGCCTCATTATGGTCCATAATCTACACTGTGAGTAATAAAATTTGCATTTGACATCACAAGTAAGCATAAATATTTCCAAATTAGCACCACAAACACAGATTCTGGTACAACCGGCCCTTTAAGAGCTTTCATAATCTTGATTTGGCCCAAAATGAAAATGAGTTTCACACCCCTGTTTTAGAGATTATCAAAACTCAATCAATCAGGTGGAGAGTCTCTAAATTAAACATTTCTGTTCTCAAATTACACAAACAGCAGGTTATTAAAAAGTAAAGTCACTACAGTCTCCATTTGAAAAAGTGTTAAGTGTATGCATTGACTCAAAATCCGATGTTGATGACTTTGTTAAACATCTGATCAGTGAGGATTTGTGTAAAGTGGCTTACATTGACCCTCCTTTTCTCATTTGTTTTATAGCAGATCCAGAGTAGGCATTTACTTTATTTACAACAGAAATGGATACATTGTTGTTGACGTGCTGCAGACTTTTACACCTCAGTCTGTAAACGACAGAGCCATGGAGATGTCGAGCATCTTATTTGGCAGGACCGGGCCGCCGGGCAGCTGAGCTGTCCAACAAACACCTCGGATAATCGACTTGCTGGATCCGGTTTCCTGCCGCTGTCATCCTATCCTACAGCTTGGGAAACCTACTCCTGACGAGGAAAACACTCCATCCCAAAACAAAAACAACACCACACACCTCACCTACATGGCGGCAAAACTCTGTTCCTCCATCTGTGATGAGACGTTAAGCTGAACGTTACACTGTAAAACATTTGAAGTTGGTTTAACTTGAAAATGAAAGTCCACCTGCTGCCTTGAAAATGCAACTTAAGTCGACAAGAAAATAGTTTTGGTTTTAACTCAGAAATTAAAGTTCATGAAGTTGATTTAACAACAAGAGACAAGTTGTCTAAACATTGTTTTTTAAGTTCATTAATCTTAAATTGAGTTTTAACTTAATGCTGCAGTTTAAACCAAATAATTAGGTCCCCTCACCTAGTTAAAGAGCCACATTTCTCTATTATTTTCACTCAATGTCAAGTTAAAATAACTGCTTATTTTACTTTAGAATAATTTAAATTTCTAATCTGACAATGAATTTTATTAAACATTCATTCATTACATTACATACATTCTTATTTCATGTACACTAAGATTGGTAGGATTTTGTGTTTTTACAGTGTATCTGATCCACCTGGCTGTTACGTTGGGTGAGTTGGGAGTTGAAACAAAGCCGTCCCTGTGCATGAATTACTCACTGGGTGACAAACGGTGCACACCCAGTGAAAGAAACTTCTGGATGAAAACTGTTGAACAAAACAAATAAAAGGGAATCATAGTAAAGCATTAACAAAAGGAGAAAATAATCCCAAAAAAGAAAAAAAAAACTACACCCAGGTGCAGCAGATCGTGACAACACGCAGAAAACGGTTATGCTAGTCAGTTTTCCCAGAAGTGTATATCCCAGAAAAGTCAACAGTAATTAATGAAAAATGGGGGGAAAAAATATTTAAATGCATTGCAATTGACAATTATACTTCATATGATGGTTGACCAGGTTAACTTCAGCATCAGCAAAAACATCCAGACAATGGTTCATGTTGACGCAATTCCTTTAGAAAAATGCTGAAACTTGAAATTCCTCCGTTATCTCTTTGCTCTGCAGACCTGTTATTAGATAGCAGAGTCTCCTTTAGTATAATCTTCAACTAAATCAGTAAAATGATACGATCATAAATGCAACAACTTCTAAAAGACAGGATTACGTCATTGGTCATTATTCATGAATGGATTACATATTTATTGAAATGGATTACATAATTGAAACTTCAGGTGAATAAAAACCTTCTAGAGGAACATAAGCAAACTATTGAGCTCCTTTTAATTTATCGTGCGATGAATTGATGCAGGGGCGTCAAACTCATTTTCATTTTGGGCCATATCAAAAATCTGAATGTTCTTAAAGGGCCGGTTGTGCCAGAATGTATTGACAAAACCAATTTAACTGCTAAAATATCAATAAATATGTTCCTCCAGGATTTTATGATTGTTTTAGTGTTTTTTGCAATCTAAATTTTGAAAGGAATTTTTACGATGATTGATGTTAGATGTGACTTTTTGTTACTCGCCATATCAGTTACAGACTATAACATAGAATCAAGTAAGGCTGAGGCTGCAGTCGCTGAAACTCAACATTTTTTACAGTAAATCAGAAGAAAAAAATGTGGGGATCTGTTGATTTTGTGTAAATTTTGCTGATTTGTGAAAAACTGGAGTGACTTACTGATGTAATTTGGAGTCTACAGGGCCACATAAAAAACTACGGAGGGCCAGATTGGCACCTGGGCCTTGAGTTTGACACCTGTGGCTTATTGAGTCAGACTCAGTTTCATGTTTCTCCGTGTGTGGCTAAAACGGGCTCACTGTGGTTCACCAGATTCCCAAAGCTTTAGAAACTGATTTGTAACCTTTTCCAGTCTGACAGACAGTGGCGGCTGGCCAGTAGGGGGCGCTTGGGCGCCACCCCCTTTAAATTGTTTAGATAATAAATTATTTCTGAA